TGGACTGAATCCCCTGAGCCAGTGTGCCAAATTAAATCTCTAAGCTGTTAATGTCAGGCATTTTGTTCCAGCAATGGAAAAGAGAAAAATACATTCCTCTTGTTTTGTCTCATCCCACCCACATCGTATCATCTCATACTATCATTATGTGAAAGATTGGCTCAACATAATCAAGAGAGAGGCCACATTCCTATGACTTACTAAAGTGCACTGTCATAATTATTCCATTTCAGTGTAAGTTATTGATTTTAATCACTTATCGTGCCTATTGTATGAAGTAAACTTCATCGTAGGGATGCATATATGGAGAGAAACACAGTGTCCAGGGAGTTTGACAGTATTCTTGGTTTCAGGCTACAAAGGGGTCTGAGAATATATTCTGCCGAGAAGTGGGGCTGTGTGATGTTAATAGTTAGGAGAAAACAGTGCTGTAGAAGAAAAGACCATCAGTGCGGAGGGGCAGTTCATCCTACTAGAGGTGGCTGAAATCACCTGGGACCCATCTGGAACCTGCTCCCAGAGTAGAAGGTGGGGTCCTTCCCATGTCCCTGTGGTCCTGACTTGGTCACTCTGGGCTATGAGATTTCACAGGTGAAAAGTTCCCACCTCCTGCTCCTTGAGGATCTGCTCCCCATAGCCCCCATTTCCTGGTTCTATCCCTCACTTGCTCACAGGGACTGTCCAGGGCTTGGCTGATACAGGGCAAATCCCCCAGCTGTATTGCTTTTCTGTCCACATTGTCCTCAACAGCAGTGTCCCAACCCTGGATGAGCCACACTTGTCCTGCAAGCCCTGCTGGAGAAAAGTCACACCAACATCAGGCAACGAATTGTCAATGGACATTTGAGGATGCTGAGCACAGAATTTCCACCGAGTTGGCCTTTCCAGTCTGGGAGCTTGTCCCAAGCTCCTCCCTCCAGTCCTTCCCCCTGGCTGACAATCCCTGCTGAGGCCCAATGAAGGAAAAGGTTGCCAGTGCCGCGCCCTCACCCTGTCCCTGTACCCACACCTCCACCTCAGAGGCAGTACCCATCCAAGGCCACTTTCCCTGCCAAGCCTTCCATTCCAGCACCCTGATTTATTTCCTCCATATGTCACTCCTAGGAAGCAGCTTACTCATCATCTTCTGTCTCTATTGTCCGTCTGCTGAACAGTCACCAGTGTCCTCCATGTCCACCTCTGGGCGCTCAGGTGCCACAGCAGGAACCTTTGGGGACTATGTAGGGCCAGACTTCTCAGGTGCCCACTGCTGGGCCACCCCATTGCTCTTGGGACCTGTCCCTTCTCATCTGGACCCCAGCAGTGTGTCTGTCAGTCCCCAGGCACTGCACATGCTCACCTACATTCATGCTGCTGCGCCTCGAAGGGTAGAAGCTCACAGAGTTTTGAATGAGTGATTAGTAAGTAACCGGAAAAAAATAAAGGCAAGAGGAAAGGAAAGAAAAGAAGGGAGGAAAGAAGGAAGGAAAAAGGTAGGAAGGAAGGAAGGAAGGAAGGAAGGAAGGAAGGAAGGAAGGAAGGAAGGAAAAGTCCACCATGCCCAATGCTGGCAGATCATATGACAATGCTGACAGTAAGATGACAGTCATCACCGGAACCCACACTGCAGCCAGCATGTCACATTAGCCCTGGGCTGCAGGACCATCTCCCTGCATCTATGCGAGGCCAGTGCACCCAGGCTGAAACTCCGGAGGCAGAGCTGTGCTCAGCTTGAGTGCCTCACCCTCTAAAGCCCCTGCATGGACAGCCAAGTGCCCAAATCTGTATGCTATGGTGCTTGGAGGAAGACCTTTTGCAAAGCAACTGGGGAAGATGAAGGTAGGGTCTCTGTGGTGACCCTGCTGGCTTTATAAGAGGACCCCAGCCTGCACAATTAATGCCCTTGGCTATGGTCATGACATAGCCAGAAGGTTCTCCAGAGAGTTCCAGCCTCCAAAACAAAGTAATGGAATCTTCTACCTTCATAAATTATCTGGTCTCAGGTATTTGTTATGGCACCAGGAAACAGAGTGAGGCACTCCCAGTTATCCAGTACTCTAATAAAACAGCAGAAATCTGGTATTTACAGACTCCTCACTAATGCTGTAAGTGGGAGGGCAGCAGGTCCATGAATAGGCAAGTTCCCCTGGGGTGCCCACAGCCCTGTCATCGTGGGTTGGCTCTGCTCACTGAGGTGCCCACTAGACCCCCAAGTCCCTCTCAACATCTCCAGGAGTCCTCCTGACCCCAGCTCCCTGTTGCGATTTGAGGGGCTTGGATTGCTGGGTTAGCCACTGTGGTCAGCTAAGTGGCCACTGGTCTGAGGCCTTGGGTACTGCCTGAGACAGGTCTTGACCCATCAGCTCCAGACAGGGGCAGCAGTCACAGGGCAAATGCTTCCCAGAGTTGTGGGAAGGATGCTATCAAGGTCAAAGACTCACTCTGAGCTCCTGACTGAACCAGGAACAATAGGGCATAAGGACCTGCACCCCAGGACCTGCTACTCGAGGTCCATCCCTGGCCCATCCCCCGCCTGCACACCCCATGCAGCCCTGGACACACAGGGCAAATCAGGGCTGAGTTTCTTCCTGTGCTAAGTGAAGAATCCTCATTCAGCTGCTTCGATCTGCAGTACACAATGAAGCAATGGTGAGCCTTTAGAGCCTGTGTGCCCCAACTGCAGCCCTGAACCCACTTACCTATCACAAAGTGCCGCCTCTGCAAGGAAATCTGAATGCTGAGGTTTGAGTTTAGAAAAAACAACTCAGATGTTAGCATCATTTGTCTAAAAAGTAAAACAAATAACTCATGTACCATGGGTTTGCCACTACTGTGCGAGATGGATTTTTGTGGGGGAGGGTCTTTTATACCTTGTACAGGGCCTCAGAGGCGGGAAAACTGCCAGCAAAGCAAGGATTTTGCAAGAAGATGCCGTCTTGGAGGAATGACAGGCACTGAAAACAACAAAGCCCCAGAGCACAGCCCATCAGAAATAGTGTAAAGGCAAAGATGAACACACAGGGTGTCTGGAGGGACTGCACCGAGGACAGGTGACAGCACCCCCTGTACACCTGCTCCTCCCCTCTTCCTGCCTTTTGGCCTGAGCTAGCTCCTCACCCAGACCTGGGAGGGAAAGCCAGCTACCTTCCTTCTGGGCTGGCCCCCACCACTCGGAGGCCTGGGGATCAAGTGCACCTGGAACCCCATTTATCCCTGCCCCAGGAGTTGCCCCCTCCTCAGACTGCAGTGTTACTTAAAGGGCTCCCCAGGGGTCTGCAAACAGCTCAGCTCCTCTAAGAGCTCTGGCTGGACGCAGGGTGGTGGTCATGGGAGACCCCTGAAGGCCAGCTTCCTGGAAGTCTTCATTGATTCTCAGCCAAAGAGTGGAAATCACAGGATGCGTTTGTTCTCCTAGAACAGATGAGGGTATCAGGACTCCCAGAAGTGGGGAAAGGCAATTGTAAACTACTCAGCGGGAAGGAACTAAAAATACTACTCCAAATTCTTGGTGTACAAACCTGAGACAAATAACGGTTTAAGAGACTAAAGCTGCCTTGTGACTCTTAACGTCCTTGAATGCCTTTCAGAATCGACTGACCCCAGAAAGCCTCCCGGCGGGAGGCTGGGCAGGGACTTTCTGGAGGGCTGGGCTCCCTAGCAGCCTGTCCCGGGTGCCCTGCCCAGGCCAGCTCCCGGGCTCGCCCACCCACACCGAGGCGGGCAGAGGCAGTGGGGCTGGGCTGAGTCAGTTTTGCTTACTTTTTGCTCCCACCTCCTTCTCTGAAGTGCTGTTTTTATCTGACACAAGGAGACGCAATTCTAAGCTAGATGCGCAAGTTTCTTCACAAACTGCTGCCTTCTAAATACTTGAAACACCCCACTCGCCTTTGTTCTGCCTTCCTTTTAGAGTTTCAAACTCGGAGGAGCCAGAAAGAAAGGCGAGCTGGGACGGGAAGAGCAGAGACCAGGCCACGCGGCCACCCGTCCGCCACCTTCGGGGCAGCCCCGGGTCTCAGGTCCGCTGTGGTGGCCGGGGGTCGGCTCGGGGGTAGGGCAGGTGGGCAGCCGCGACAGCCGGCGGCAGAGCACCCCTCTTCCGGGGCCGCATCCGAGCCCCTGCTCTGACCAGGTCCCCTGGGGCCCTCAAGATCCCGCCAGGGGCTTCGCAGGGATGTGGACCCCGTTTTCTCAGGTTCTGCGTTTCCACCTTGCTGCCCACTGTGAGAGAGTTTTTTCCAGAACAGAAGTAGCTGTTGATCCTTAGCGCACGCAGGGGGTTCGAGGACGCAGCGAAGTGCTGGCCCCGGGGACGCCGGAGGAGGGGCAGGCGGGGCGCAGTGGTGGGCTCCCTCATTCACCACTGACTGCGAGGGTGAGGACAGCGGGCGGGGTGGAGGTTCCCTGCAGAAGGCACAGTGACGAGGAGTTGGGGATAGAGGTCAAGGGCGTCCCCTCAGCGGGCAAAGTGAGGCGAGGCAAGGAGGGCGCCCGCAATGCCCCCCGTGCCCGGTAGAGGGCGCGCCAGTGGGTTGGGAGCGCCGACGGGCTCAAGCGGCCGGCGCCCCTGACGTCACCGCCATGCAGTCGCCATGGCGACGGCCTCTCCGGCGCGCGTCAGAGCCCCAGTCTCTTGGCAACCGCCCGATCTCCGCTCCCCCAGCCTGGCGCTCTGCCGCGCGTCGCTCTGGCGTCAAAACGACGTCAATGGGTCGTGTCGGGTGGGGCGGTGCTGGGCGGGGCCTCGGGCGGCTCGGGGCGGGGCCTCAGGCGGGGCGGGGCGC